TAAGAAAAGCTGCAGGTCATCTATCCAGACGTCAAAGTCAATGGCCCGACCCTTAGCGTCAAAAGCGAGGACACGAGGGGTAGCCATGACAGCAGTAGACTAGCAGCGCGAACAGTAGGGTGAGGGCAGTGCAGTGACAGAGGCGCTGCTCTTACCAGACAGGGCGGCTCGGGCGGCTCGGCTGCAGGGCGACTCGGCGGCTCGGCAGTAGGCGGCTCGGCAGCTGGGCGGCTCGGGGGCTCGGCTGCTGGGCGGCTCGGCGGCTCGGATGCTGGGCGGCTCGGCGGCTTGGCTGCTGGGTGGCTCGGCGGCTCGGTTGCTGGGTGGCTCGGCGGCTCGACTGCAGGGCGGCTCGGCGGCTCGGCTGGTGGGCGGCTCAGCGGCTCGGTTGCTGGGCAGCTCGGCGGCTGGGCGGCTGGGCGGCTGGGCGGCTCGGCTGCTGGGCGGCTCGGCGGCTGGGCGGCTCGGGGGCTCGGCTGCTCGGCGGCTCTGCTGCTGGGAGGCTCGGCGGGGCCGCAAAGGAGGCGGCGGAAGGGCCGCTGAGAGGGCGGCGTCGGGGGCCGCTGAGAGGAGGCGGCTGGGCCGCCGAGAGGAGGCGGCGGGGTGGCGGAGAGGAGGCGGCGGGGCCGCGGAGAGGAGGCGGCGGGGCCGCGGAGAGGAGGCGGCGGGGCCGCCGAGAGGAGGCGGTGGGGCCGCTTAATGGAGGCGGCGGGGCCGCTGAAAGGGCGGCGACGAGGCCGCTGCAGGGGTAGTGGCGGGGCCGCTGAAAGGAGACGGCGGGGCCACTGAGAAGGGCGGCGACGGGCCGCTGAAGAGGGCGGCGACAGAGCCGCAGGGAGGGCGGCGGCAGGGCCGTGCAAGGGCGGCGACGGGGCCGCTGGTGAAAGGGCGGCGAGGGGGGGCCGCAGGGGGGAGAGCGGCGACGGGCCGCGAAGGGCGGCAGATCGGGGCCGCAAGGGTGGCGGATTGGGGCCGCAAGAGGCCGCTAGGGGGCCGTGAAGGCGGCTAGGGCGGCGCGACGCGACCGTTAGGGCGGCGCGACGCGACCGTTAGGGCGGCGCGACGCGACCGCTAGGGCAGCGCGACGAGGCCGCGAGGGGCCGCTAAGGGCGACGCGACGGTAAGGAAAGCACACGAGGCGCGACTCGGGCCTAAGCGGAGCGCGCTCCGGGCAGGAAAAAAAAAAATTCGTAGTGGTGGGCCCTAGGAATCGTTCCCGTTAGGGAACCTGCTCGATACCATGAGAAGAAACGAGAATGAAAGAACTATGAATGAATTTGGGTACAAGTACTAACCCTAATTGGGTTGTACCCCTTATGGGCTACCCCACTATAGCCTACACAATATGCATGAGCTATAATGTTCTGACAGCGGGTTGACGCGAATCTGGTGGTAACCCCCTCGAAGGTCGATTTTCGAGAAAACCCATGCTGTGCGCAGTTGGTCGATCAGTTCGTCGGCTCGCGGGATGGGGTAATGGGATTTTATGGTAACCCTGTTCAGTGCTCGGTAGTCTATGCACATGCGAAATCCCCCGTCTTTTTTCGGTGTGAACAGTATCGGTGCTGCGAAAGGCGACGAACTAGGGCCAATGAATTCCTTCTCGAGCAGGTAATCGAGCTGCTTCCTCAATTCGTCCAGTTCGGGCTGGGTCAGTCGAAACTGTCGTTGTACTGTTGGCTGTGCCCCCGGTTCTAACTCTATCCTGTGGTTGTGCGGTCGCTGAGGTGGCAATCCCGTCGGTAAATCGTCCGGGAAAATGTCGCTGTACTGCTTCAACATTGCTGCCAGGTCACTCGGTACGTCGGCCAGCAGTTTCTCTAAATCCCCTCCTTTGTCTGCTGCCTCGGCTTCCCGAATGTCGACCGCGTACACGTCAGCTCCTGCCGCTACCGCGCGTTTCATCGTGATTGCGTTGACACGCACTGACGAAGACTCAGGCGAGCCCCAGCGAGGTAGGGCGATGTTGTTACCGTTCACGCGCACGGAGCAGTCACCCGTCATCCAGTCGATTCGCGGATTGTGTCGTCGCAGCCAATCACGCCCGAGTAAAATATCGGTTCCGTCGAGTGTTGTTGCGAGCATTTCCTGGCTAAACGTGAAGTTACCCCCACATCGAATCCGAACCCGGTCTACGCGTTCCCGTATTGCCAGTGGCGTGCCGTCTACCAGTCGTGCGTCGATCTCAGGTAAACATCTGTCCAGTGGCAGTCGCGGTTTTCGTGCTGTAGCAGTGTTGATGAGGTTGTGGCTAGCTCCCCCGTCTACGAAGATTTTAACTAAGTCCGTCCCGATTTTCCCACTAAGCAGTATGGGGCTGTCTACCGTAGTCCCCTCCTTATTCGGCCGAGTGTGGTCGAATGCGTGAACCGGCACAATCACTCGGTGAGGGTCGGTTGGGTCGGGCGAGCGGCGTGACCTGTCAGTAGAGGGCCCGTCTGCTACTGACTGCCAGCGTTTCCCTGCTGCTTGGTCTGTTTCTGCTGCTCAGCTTCCCCCTTTCCCTTAGCTTTTTCCGGGCATTCCCTCTTGCGATGTCCCGGCCGATTGCACGCAAAGCAACGCCCTTTGAACGGTGCGGCAGCGGCATTTGCGGCGACGACACGTATCGTGGCGCCCTCATTCGTCCCACGAGGCCGATGTCCCCAATGGCTGCTTCCGTAGGACCCCGGTCTCGGTCGGCGGAAGAAATAAAGTTTCTCCGCCATAGCGAGAATTTCTTGAAAGTCGGTGACGCCGCGAAGCTGGATTTCCTTAGCGATGTCCTGCTTCAGGCCGCCGATGTAGCGGTCGATGCGCTCGCTCTCGTGCATGTATCCCACCTGCTCGCATAGCGCCAGAAATCCGCTCGTGTAATCTTGGACGGAACCGAGTTGGCGCCAAGTGCGGAGCTTCTGTCGCCCCGCGATCGAAGCCGCGATTGGCTCGAAACGAGCGCGCAGACCTGCGCACCACGCGTCCCACGTGCGATACTGGGGCACCTCCACGAAATACGACGGCGCCCAGGGTCCGGTTTGTCCTTCCCGTGTCGGTAGAGTCGCGTAGTCCACCGGCTTCGTGACGATGACGCGCCACCAGTCCATGGCGGGTCCTCGCAGCAACGACACGGCGTAGCGAATTTTCGCCGTATCCTCCGAGACGTAGTTCGCGTCGAAGAAGACGTTTAATGTGAAGAGCCACGCCTGAACGGTAGGACCACCCCGCTGACTTGGGTCAAAGCATGGCGCACGCTGCGGCTTTAGCGGCATCGGCGACAGAAAAGTTGATTCGCCGGCCGGCACCGAAATCGTGACTCGAGGCTGAGTCCTGGCCGCATTCGTCGCGTCGGGGTGTGTCGTGCCGTGGTCGTCGTCTCCGTCATGGCGGACGACGCCATCACTTGCGGCGCTCGCGGGTTGCCCCACACTTCCGTGCTGTGATGTCTATGGTGCGGGCTGAATCGGAGTGCCAGGTGCTTGGGATTGTGCCCGTGTGAGGTCGTTTTGCAGGGACGAGCGTTCTGCCGTCAGCGTCGCGATTTCCTCGGCGCTCTCGCGGATTTGTCGCAGCAGATCGTTCAAGTGCTCCTGCGTGAGAGTCGTGACGTCGATATGTTCAGCCATTTCGAAGTGCGTCGGCTCGTCTTAGTCTAGGCGCAATCGTGGCTGCACGCGTTTACGAGAGAACGCGAGGATAGCGGCTCCTAGGTGCTAAGGTACGTGAGCCCCTTCGAGTGAAAAATCAAAAGTTGATTTCCTGGGGTGCGGAGATGCGCGTTTCGAAAGGAAAGAGGCTCTGAATACCAAGTGTTACGGGTGCAATGGATCGAAGTAGCGAGAATTGCACTAAGGTGTCAAACGAGTACAAAATGTGAGCGAAGGCATGAGCGAACATTTATACGCGAAACATACAAACGGTAACGCGGTGCGTGCGAGCTAGTTAGTGCTACGCTGGAGCGAGGCTCGGGCTAGTTCCGAAGCGTAGGCCGACACGGCCAGTCCAGCAGTGCGAGGTTTGGTGAAACAGTGTGCGTGAAGTCGGCGAAGCCCCGTTAGCAGTAACGGGCGAACAACGGCTGCTGCTGTACGCGATGTTGCAGGGTGCTCATGTCAAAACCTATATTTGTAACTGCCTGTAGCTATAGTTAGTTTAGTTATTTAAATCTGTAGGTGGTGCACCTCTTCACTTGTTTCCTTTGCTATATGTACTTCGAAACTATAGTGAAGCATCATTCCTTCCCAACTCTCTTCCAACTCACTCGATCTTCTCCCTAGGACAAAACCCGCTCGACAGCTAATCTCGGGCCTAGGCTCCTAAGCCTAGGCCCTACTTTCAACTTAACTACATTTCTCGTTTTACTTTTCGACAGCTCTAAGGAATATCGAGAAAATTCCTTACAAAACACCACACCACACCACATCAACCAGGATATCATGTTGCCTCAATTGTCCTGCCAAAGATAGAATTGATTCATTCCACACTGTTCATATACACTTTATGTTCTTCTATATGAATGGCATTGCAAGGAGGCACAGCAAGGCCGCATCTTTCAAGAAACCTTCTAACTCTAGCCGTTGTAGTAACTGTGAAGAAAGTTCTTCACACTGTACAGATGTTATCAATGTAGTAAACAGAAAGCTTAGCAACAAAGCTTGACGCCAAGGAAGCACGGTTAGAAGGGTGAGCAGCAGAAGGCTATGTTCTTGAAGGGTACATGGGCAGTGTGAGCTGGGACAGCACACATGTGCACGATATGTGCGATTCAGCGAAGAGGACTACATGGGTGGGTGAGAAGGAGCGGATGATGTGTGTGTGGGTCTGATATGCCATGAGGTGGTGGGAGTGAGTGAGAACCAGTAGTGTGAACCACTAATGCGACTAGCAAGAACCACTAGGGCAAGGTGAGGCAATGCATTGCCACATTGCTGCATGTAACCATGGTGCATGTAACCATGGTGCATGTAACCATGGTGCATGTAACCATGGTGCATGTAACCATGGTGCATGTAACCATGGGAGCGTCACCATGCGTCCATGAGCGCATTGACTGCCAGCAACACGTTTGGCCTTCTCAACAATTCCTGCATACACGTTCAGATGAACACATACGCGCATGCACACATGCACACACACGCACATGCACACACCCACACATGAATGCATGCAAATCCACATGCAGACAAACAGCAAGCAACGACGAGAGCAAGAAAAGAAATAGTGGGATGGATGTAGCAGCACAGCTCCCCATGCAAGCATGTATGTCCCATGCTGTTCTTCATTGCGAGCATGTATGTCCCATGCTGTTCTTCATTGCAAGCATGTACCTGGCGGATGGCATGTGAGGGCACATACATACCTGTCGGATGGCATGTGAGGGCACATACATACCTGGCGGATGGCATGTGAGGGCACATGCGGTAACACCTCCTCCACCTGAGCCACCATCGCTGCCATTCTCTCCTCATCCACCCCCATCCGCATCCCCATCCCCCACCCGCCCCCTCCCCCCCGCGCACCTTCTCCCCCTCCCCCCCGTGCGCCTTCCCCTCCCCCTCCCCACAGGCCCCACCCTCTCCGCCTGCCCCTCACCTCCTCCCCTCCTCCTCCTCCCGCCACTCCCCGCCTTCCTTCTTCCCCTGCTTCTCTCCCTCCTCCTGCCGTTGCCCCCTCTCTTGGTTGCACAGGCACCCCAGCTTCCCCTCCTGCTCCCCCTCCCCCTGTCCGCCGTTCTGCTCCATTCCCTGCCCCCTCTTCCCCCGCATGCCTTGCCCTCCCACTCCCCCCTCCTCTGAACCGCATTCCCCTTAGGGAAATGGAAGAGGAGAAAAATCGGCCTCCCCCAATCCCCCTCTCCCCCCCTTCCTGCCGCTCCCCTCCCCCCATCCCCCCCCCGCCCCCCTCCCCACGCTGCCCCTCTCCCCCCTGACCTCCCCCATGCCCTCCCCTTGCTCCCTCCTCCTGGCCTGCATCCCCACCCCACGCTTGATCCACTCCCCTCCCCACACCCCCCCCTCCCTCTTGTCCCCACCCACCACCCCAAGCAGCATCCTGAGCAGGCTGATTTGCAGCAACCCCAGCAGCAGCAGCGGGGGGGGGCTGGGGTGGAGGGGAGAGGGACGAGAGCACGTTGGGGGGGAGGCTGTCAAGCGGGCGGCGGCAGGTGGGGCAGGAGTAGGGCGCTTGAGACCCATGCTCTAACCAGCTACGCAGGCACGAGAGGTGAAACAGGTGCCCGCAGGGGAGGCGCTTGGCCGATGATAAAGGTTCCCGGCAAATGGCACAGTCGTCCGCAAATGCGGTAATCTGAGCCGGAGAGGCGTCCGGGAAGGTGGAGCGGAGGAGGCGCAGGGCGGCATGCCAACGAAGGAAGCCGGCCACGCGCTTGGAGAGGGCGGCGAGGAGCGTGCGTATGTTGAAGACGAGCACGAGGTCGATGACTGAGAAGGAGAAGCCGCGGATGAGCAGCACGAGCGTGCAGTGCGCGAGGGTGAGCAGCGTGGAGGAGGCGTCTGCTGTAAACGAGACGTTGAAGAGCAGCCAGGAGCGCAGCTCCGCCCACTCACAGGAGGCCAGGAGGGCTGTGCGGGAGGGGTGGAGGTGAGGGGAGAGAGACAAGAGGAACAAAGAGCAGAGACAGGGGAGGAAAAGAGTGGGTGAAGTTGAGTGCATGAGGTGGCTGTTGCAGTGTGAACGCCACGTTGAAGAGCAGCCAGGAGCGCAGCTCTGCCCACTCACAGGAGGCCAGGAGAGCTGTGAGGGGGAGAGGAAAGGGACAGCATGGGGAGGGAGAGGGAGAGAAACGGTAGATTTTAGAGCTAGAGGCGGCTGTTGCACGAGTGTGAGGAGGCGTCTGCGGTGAAAGAGACGTTGAAGAGCAGCCAGAAGCGCAGCTCGGCCCATGACCACACCCTCTAACCACCTCAGCCCCTCACAGATAGACCTACAATCCCTCACGACATCGCTCAGCTCTCCCCCTCTCACCACCCCACTTCCTCACAGGCCCGCCTCAACCACGGGCCCTCACAGCATGACGGCAGCAGGCCTCACAGGTGAGCGGCAGGGCGGGCGGCAGGTGCGCAGCGAGGAGGTCAGAATGGGCCTCGAGGAGGTGCACGCAGTAGTGCAGCAACGTCTGGTGATGGGGGTGGGGGACCACCGGGAGGAGAAACGGGGGGGTGGAAAATGGAGGGAGGAGATGGGGACAGAGCAGAGAGGAGGTCGGAGTGGGCCTCGAGCAGGTGCACGCAGTAGTGCAGCAACGTCTGGTGATGGGGTGGAGATGGGGGAATGGAGATGGGGAGGGGAATGAGGTGGGGGAAGGAATGGGGAGCCTGGCGGGATGGGGCATGGGGGCATGGAAGGATGGGGCATGAGGGGATGAGGGCATGGGGGGATGGGGGCATGGGTTTCATGGAGCGATGGTGCATGGGGGGATGGGGGCATGGGGAGGTGGGGGCATAGAGGGATGGCGGGATTGGGGGATGAGGGATGGGCGAGGAAGGGTGCTCTGACTGCTCTATCTCCTGAACGGCACCTGGGAAGGAGTGGTTGTGCTGACCCGCGTGGTGTCCATGGCATGGTAATGACGAGTGGCTCGTAGGCGAATTGCAGCAGCCCCACGGACGGCGGGGGCATGGAGGCATGGGAGCAGGAGGCATTGTGTGGATGGGGTGACGGGCGCATGCGGGTATGACCTGGGTGGTGTCGATGGCCATGACGAGTGGCTCGTGGGCGAATTGCAGCCCCACGGAGAGGGCATGGGCATGGGGCATGGGGCATGGGGGCATGGGGGCATGGGGGAACGGGGGAATGGGGGTATGGGGGTATGGGGGTATGGGGGTATGGGGGTATGAGGAATGGAGGAATGGGGATGGAGGCGGAGGTTGCATTCACCTGAGTGGTGTCGAAGGCGATAACGAGTGGCTTGTAGGCGAAGAGTAGGCGAAGAGCAGGCCCACGGAGGAGCGCGGCCAGGGGCGGCTGGAGGGATGGGTGAACTTGATGTGTTGGAATGGACAATGAGGCAAGGAGAGGCCACGTTTGCACTGACCTGCGTGGTATCGATGGCGATGACAAGCGGCTCATAGGCGAATAGCAGCCCCACGGAGAGGCGCGGCCACGGGGACATGACATTGCGCGATGCGGATGGGGAGGAGGCGGGGGAGGCTGGGGCGAAGAAGGGGAGCAGACACACGGCCCTGGGGGGGATGGAGGGAGAGGGAGAGGGAGAGGGAGCGCGAGAGGAGAGGAGAGGAGAGGTGAGTGGGAAGAAGGGCGATGGCGACGGGAGGGCACATGGTGCAAACATGGCGACGGGAGGGCACATGGTGCAAACATGGCGATGGGAGGGCACATGGTGCAAACATGGCGACGGGAGGGCACATGGTGCAAACATGGCGACGGGAGGGCACATGGTGCAAACATGGCGACGGGAGGGCACATGGTGCAAACATGGCGACGGGAGGGCACATGGTGCAAACATGGCGACGGGAGGGCACATGGTGCAAACATGGCGACGGGAGGGCACATGGTGCAAACATGGCGACGGGAGGGCACATGGTGCAAACATGGCGACGGGAGGGCACATGGTGCAAACATGGCGCGCATATGCAAGCACATAACTGCCACGGAGCAGCATGCACAGAGTACAGCGGAAAGGGCAAGGCGAGGGGAGGAAAATGGAGGGCACAGCGTGCTCACAGCAGCAGGTTGGCGCGCGTACGCAGGTGCGAGGATGGCCGTGCGGAGGGTGGTGCGTTCAGAAGGCCCTCAAAAGGCAAGGAGAGGAGAGGGGCATACAGCACCACTCACAGCAGCAGGTTTGCTAGCAGCACGAGCAGCAGCAGCGCGAGCGTGCGCAGGTGCGACGAGGGCTGCGCGGACGGCGATGCACTGAGGCGCTGCGACCGCTCCTTGCCCACCACCCCGAACATCTGAGAGGGGGGGAAAGGGAGCAGGGTGGTGGGGGACCTTTGAGTCGACTCAAAAGGTGCGACGAGGGCCGCGCGGAAGGGGATGCACTGAGGCGCTGTGAGCGCTCCTCGCCCACCACTCCGAACATTTGATGGGGGGGGGAGGAGCGGGGGATGGGGGAGCGGGGATTAGGGGAATGGGAGGGGCGCGCGGACGGTGATGCACTGAGGCGCTGAGAGCGCTCCTCACCCACCACTCCGAACATCTAGAAGAGGGGGGGGGGGGAGGGGGGGATGGGAGAGCGGGGATTGGGGGAACGCGGATTGGGGGAATGGGGATTGGGGGAATGAAACGGCTGTGCGGACGGGGATGCACTCAGACGCTGCGATCGCTGCTTGTCCACCACCCCGAACATCTAGAAGAGGGGGGGAGGGGATGGGGGAGCGGGGATTGGGGGGGATGGGGGAGCGGGGATTGGGAGAACGGGTGAGCTGGCAGGATGGAGGATGGGGTTAGGCAGGACGTTGGTAATCGGGATTGGTGCACTCGGGGAGATGCAAGCAGGAGAGCGGAGAGACAGAGAAGGAGAAAGAAAAAGACAGGGGGGGGGGGGGGGGGGGGGGGGAGAAAGAGGGTGAAAGGGGCGAGGGAGTGGAGCGAGCGCGGGGAGGAGCATGTTGGTGGTGGTTGCAGGAGGGGATAGTGGGCGTCATACCTTGATGGCGGTGACAGCAGCGAACCACAGCAGCCACACGGGCTGCACCACTAGCACGTCCACTAGCGAGAGCAGCAGCAGCAGCTGATGGGGGGAAAGGGGGAGGAGTGGAGGGGAAATGGGGAGGAGATGGGGAGTCACACGGGCTGCACCACCAGCACGTCCACTAGCGACAGCAGCAGCAGCAGCTGCAGCAAGGAGGGGGAGGGGAAGGTGGGAAGGAGAAGGAGCGGGGGCAGGACACGGCATGTTAAGATTCGGTGGGACAAGGGATTGTCATTCTTTAAGGGGCCTCAGAAGCAGCCACACGGGCTGCACCACCAGCACATCCACCAGCGATAGCAGCAGCAGCAGCTTCCGGGAGCGAGGGGAAGGAGAAGGGGAGTTCACATCAGAAGGGACGCACGGAGGAGGGGACGGGGGAACGGCTAACGGCGGTGGTGACAAGGGTTGAAGGGGCGATGATTCGGCCGTGGGAAGGGGTGAGACGGAGCGAGACGCGAATAGGACTGCGGGAGTCATCGTGAAAGCAAAGCGGGAGAGGAGGTCTCACTTTGAAGGCGACATGGAGCAACACTGACCTTGAAGGAGAAGTGGCCGATGAGTCGCTCCGCCAGCTTGTGCATCTCCAGCAGCGATAGCTCGCCCAGAAACAACTCCTGCGCACCGCACAGCACCGAGGATAGCAACCATTGCCGACATGGGCACAGGGAGGGGAGTAAACGACAATTGGGAACAGATTAAGAAGGGGCATTCATATGACTCCCCTGCTCCTTAATCCCCACTCTTCCCCGCCCTCCCTCTTTGTCATCCTGCCCTCCTACCCCTGTCGGAAACTCATAATCTGTGGCATCCCATGGCTTGCCTCCTCCTTCCTGCTCTCACCCTCCCTCCCTTCTTCTTCCAAGCTCTGTTCCTGTGATACCTTACCTGCTCTGCCTCAGCCACTACCTGCCCCCTCCAGAGCTCGTGCTCGGGTCTCCCGTGCACGTGTCACTGGACACTCTTGCTGAGGCCGGGTGCTTCTCACCACTGCAGCATTCGTCAGGCGGTTCCCCGTCTGCTCTCTTCTCTGATTCCTCTGCACCAGCACTCTTGGACCCCCCATGTCCTGCGTCTCTCTTCTCTGTGTATCCAGTGCCACTTCCAGCATATCCCTCTCTGCAGGTATGCTCCCTGTCCCATGCCACCCAGTTCTCAGCCACTCTCATTCCCGCTGGTTCTGTCAGCACCTGTGTTGCTGGCTCCATCGACTCATCTTCCCATGTCTCTCCCTTAATCCCCTTTACTGTCTTCACGGCCTTTTGTTCTTTCTTACTCATTGCATCTCCCACTGTATGCTCCAGTCCTTCTCCTATTGTCAGGCACTCCCACGCCCCCTCTTCCTTGCTCTCCCTCGCTGCTTCTTCCTGCTTCTTGGCCGGGTCCCTCACCGGACCTTCCCATCGAGCGACCCATAGGTCACCTTGCCCCTGGTTACACGCCGCCTCTGCTGGTATGCTCCTCACATCCGCCTCGGGTCCTCTCACGGCTTCTTTTCCCATTTCTTCCCCCTTCAGCTCTGGATGTCCTTCCCACAGCTTCCTCACTTGCTGCTCCACCATCCCACTTTCCTGCGCTTGCTTGTCTGCCTTTAGTACACGTGCCCGTGCCCCCACCTTCTCGTCTTTTCCTCCTGCTTCTGCGGCTGCTGGTGCGCACGCCCATGCCCCCTTTTTCTTGGCTTTCCCTTCTGCTACCGCTGCTGCCACTACACGCGCCTTTGCCCCCACCTTCTCTTCTTTCCCTTCCTCTTCCGCTGCTGCTGCTACACACGCCTGTGCCCCCACCTTCTCTTCTTTCCCTTCCTCTTCTGCTGCTGCTGCTACACACGCCTGTGCCCCCACCTTCTCTTCTTTCCCTTCCTCTTCCGCTGCTGCTGCTACACACGCCTGTGCCCCCACCTTCTCTTCTTTCCCTTCCTCTTCTGCTGCTGCTGCTACACACGCCTGTGCCCCCACCTTCTCTTCTTTCCCTTCCTCTTCCGCTGCTGCTGCTACACACGCCTGTGCCCCCACCTTCTCTTCTTTCCCTTCCTCTTCCGCTGCTGCCACCACACATGCCCGTGCCTCCACCCCTTCATCCACCACTTCCGCTTCCGCTGCTGCTGGTACACATGCTCTTGCCCCCACCTGCTCATCCTTTTCCTCTGCTTCCGCTGGTGCTGGTACACACGCTCCTGCCCCCACTTTCTCATCCTTCTCCTCTTCTTCCGCTGCTGCTGGCGTTACTAACATGCACGCCCATGCCCCCACCTTACTCACTTGCTTCCTTCGCACGTTCCTGCCCCCACTGTGCAGCCGCATGTCCGCATGGCCACGCAGCGCCGCACAGGAGCGTTCCGGCTCCTGCTCCTCTTCCTCCTCCTCGTACAACCCCGCTTGCCCCTGACTTCTTTCTCCCAGCGCCTGCAGTTGGGCTCGTAACTGTTTGATCTGTTCCTCAATCTCCTCGGGTGATCTCCCTGCCTCCCTTACTTTCTCATAGCAGTTCCTTGCCTGATGCCCCTTTTTCCCACCTTTCTCATAGCTCGGTACATCTGGGCAGTCCCTTCGGCGGTGCCCAGGCTTTCTGCACACATCACAGTTCTTGCACTCCCTCCTGATATGCCCTTCCTGCCCGCACCTGTGGCACGTCCGTGTTTCTGCTTGCCACTCCTGCCACTGTTCCTCCTCACCCTCGTCCTCGGTTATCATCGCTGCAGCCCACCTGGGCCGCCCTTCCTCTGACACCCTTGGCAGGTACGCCTCGTACCGCCTCTGCGCCAGCTCCACTCTCTCTGCCAATTCAAACACCTCCTCTAGCGTTGCTTCCGCTCCCAACTCATACACTCTCATTCTCAGTCCCCCACTCAGTCCTTCATCTAACCCCCCCAGAAACTTGCTAATTAACATGCTGCTGTCCGTGCAGGCCACATCCTCAGCTAGATTGGCGAGCCTCCCAAAGTATGTGAGTAACGACTCCACCTTACCCCGCCTAAACTCCTGAAACTCTCGGATACGGTCGGCCGTGTGGCCCGGGAACTGTTTTCTCAGTCGCTCAAGGAACAGCGTCGTGGGATCATCTCCATCTTCCTCTGCCCGTCTCAGCCACTCCGGCATCTTCATTCGGTACAGCGTTTCAGCTTCGCCCCCCAACGTATTCGGCAGGCTTAAGAAAAACTCTATCGGGTCCATCCCGCTTCTATCGCAGCGGTACTTCACAATTGCGATCTGCATCAGGTAATTCTTTAGGTTGGTTCCGGAACCTGCTCCCCCCGTAAAGCGCACCGGCACCTCCACCTGAGGTGGGGCCTGCACATTCCACCTCCCCGTCTCCCAAGACCCTGAGATCTCATTCCTTCTGCTACTCTCTTCTCTCCTCTCCCTCGACTCCCTGCTCTTCGACGCTGTCCCATACAGTACTTGATAGATTCCTTCTCTGGCTGCCCTTGCTCCCCCAGCGCCTGCCCATGACTGCTGCTGCCTTCTCGGCCATGTCGGACTTGAGCTCCTTCCCCCTTCTCTCTCTTGAGCTTCCCCATATCTCTTCGATCCCCACCCTGATCTCTCCCTCTTTTCGGGGTAATATTCTTCCCAGCGCCCCTCCCTACGGCCCGACCCGTGGCGTGCAGGTCGGTCACGCTCTCCTTCCTCGTTCTCTGAGTCATTCGCAGGCATCATCTCCCGTCGCCTACTCTGCTTCTCTCCTCTCCTTTTCTGCACCTTGTCGTCTTGCTTCTCCCTCACCTCCACATTGTACTCCCTACGCCCCTCTTGCCTTCCCGTATACTCCTCCTTTCCTCCACCGGATGGTTTCTTCTCGCGCCGCTCCTGCTTCCTGCGTCGGCGCCGCTCCAGATTATACCCATCGTCCTCCTCTTCGCTATAGTCATGTTCCTTCTCTTCACGCAGCTCCTCACCACTCCTTCTCGTCTTCTCTCTCCCCTCCTTCCTCTCAAGGGAATCTCCTTCATCGCGTCTCCCTCGTCCGCCTGCTCCTCGGCGCCCATGTTCCTCTTTTCTTCTTCCTTTGTCACTTCCCGGGTCCTTCCCAGGGGACACTCGCCGGCAGCGCTCTTCCTCACTCTTTGTCCTGTTTATCTTTCTCTCCTGCCTCCCCCTTGCCTCTCCGACAGGTTCCTGCACCAACCCTGCTCCCGCGCACGGATACTCTTCTATTTCTTCACGGCGCGCTCTCGCACCTGCACCCGTGACGTACTGCGACGAACACTCACTGCCCTTGACACGTGCTTCCCTCTCCTCCGTCCGCTGCCATGCAGGCGAGCGCTGCACGCGCCTCCTATCGCGGTCGTCCTCACTTTCCTCTCCCCCCTGCTCTGGTGATTGCCATCCGCCCAACGCCATGCGCCTCCTGCGCTCATGTCCGCGTCTCGGCTCAGGCGAGCCATACACTCCCGCCTGCACGTCTCGCCTCCTTTCTTCCTCACGGCTGGCTTCTGGCGCGCGCTTAGCCTCCTTTCCTTCGCCGTGCCTTGCATTACTTCTGCGCAGCATGGCTGGCGAGCGATCTGCATCTGCACCCCCGCGGCGCCTCGCATCATTCTCAGGCATTTCGCCCGCCGAACCGCCCGCATCCGCGCTCCCCTGGCGCCTCGCGCCATTCCCGCTCATTTCGCCTGTCGAACCTGCTGCAACCGCGCTTCCGTGGCGCCTCGCGTCATTCTCAGGCATTTCGCCCACCGAACCGTCAGCATCCGCGCTTCCACGGCGCCTCGCATCATTCCCACGTATTTCACCCGTCGAACCAGCTGCATCCGCGCTCTCGCGGCACCTCGAGCCATTCCCGCGCATTTCGCCAGCAGAACGATCCGCATCCGCACTCCCGCGGCGACCTGCGCTACTCCCACGCACTTCGTCTGTCGAGCGGCTTGATCCCGTCGCCCTTCCGCGCTCTTCGCGTTTCTCTCCATGGCGCCTCTCGCCTCCCTCGTGCATGTCGTCCGGCGAGCGATCTGCTCCCGCGTCCTTTGGATCATCCTCCGTCGTCTCCTCGCCGTCGACCTCGTTTGCCAACATCAGCCATCCCGTTTCGTCAGCATCTTCATGATGCCCTTCACCCGCGCCCCGCTGGCCTCTTGCCAGATCCCAGTGACCGCTTCTTGACGGCTGAGGCCTCGTCGCCAATCTCATCTGCAGATCGGTCTCACCTCCATCGCGCCGTCCGTCACCTGCTGCCATCCGATCCGCCCGATCCGCCTCTCTCTTAGGCGAGCGATCTGGCGATCGTTCCCGCTCCTGTGAGCGCATCCGTCGCGACGGCGGAATTTCCCGACGCGAATACGTTCGCTGCCAGCGCAGCTCCTGGCAGTCCATACTGCCAATTCTTTCTCTCGTTTGTGAGAGATTCTGGCTCCCACACGATGGCTGCCCTCAGTGGCCTAGTCACCTAGCTGCTGTAGCGTTAGAACGGCAACGTAAACCCACTATTTTAGGCAAACAAACGAGAGAACGAACTAAGCAGTGAGTTCCTAGTCTATTTGAATCTCTACCCCGTGCCGCGCAGTTTCCCGTAACTCACATTGGGCTCCGCCCGCTAGGCTTTAGGATTGGCCTTTCAGATTGCCCAGGGCTCGCCCTTGAATTTGTCCCACCCTGCGCCTCGCAAGTCCCTGAATCACCACTTTGCGTCAATCCCCACGCCCCAAACTCACCTTCTACAGTACTTCGAATAACCCAACTACACCTACACTAGCAAGTAACTGAATCTATTGCAAACAACAATACATTCTGTGACACCCCTCTCTCCCCCATCTCCTCTATCCTTCCCACTCCCCCCTTCCGCCCTGCGCGCACCTTAGCGCCGACGACGCCGAGCAGCAGAGCGCAGAGCAGCAGGTTGTAGAGCGCGGCGGCGGACTCGACGGACTCCGACATGTGGCGGAACGACGCCAGCCACAGCGCCGACGCGTCCACCGCCGGCCCCTCAGACGCCGCCACGTGTCCCGCTCCCGCCTGCTCGCTTCCCTGCCTCCCCTCCGCCGCAATCACCTCGCCTCCCTCCGCCCCCGCGCCCTCCTGCCCCGCGCTGCCGCTCCCTGCAGCGGTCGTCGCCGCCGCCGCCACCGCCGCCGCCGGCTGCTCCACTGCCGCCTCGGGAATCTGAGCAGCCGATGCCGCCGGGGCCGGCGGAAACGGCTGGAGCTGCGCCGGCGGGAGCGGCGCAGCTGCGGGCCACTGGCGGGCGAGCGAGTGCGCGCCGTGCTGCAGGTGCGCGTGCATGATGTTGAGGTGCAGCCCGAAACACACGGCGCTCAGCGCCGCGTACGCCGCCAGCGCGCCCGCCACCCACACGCGCGACATCGCGCCGCCCCTCCCCGCGCCCAATCAACTAAACTCCCTCCGCTTCGCGCCGTGGTGCGTCCACTCGAGTATCACCCGCTTAACTAGTGTCCGACGACCGATATAACACCTGTGCTAATAGCTGCTACGAGTTGCTAATTTGTTTCACGCGACTGCCTTACGAGGCGACGTTTTGCTGCCGAAGGCGGACTTTCTATCATCGTACGCTCCTCTCTTCGTTTTGGCAGCGCCGTTAGAGACAGCAGTGTACATTCCGAAAGGCTATCGCTATGGTGAACAGGCGACAACAGGCGACGATGACGACGACCGCGACAATACAAGCGACCTTTGACGACTCAAACCTCAGCGCACACGCGAAACTATAACACACTCACTGGAACCGCAACAAGTGGTAAGGAAGCTCACGGCACGGACGAGTCGGAAGATTTGACGATACGCTACTCACTACAATGCCGCATCTACATGGATATCGGAATGAAGCTAGAATTTCTGTCGGTTCTCGGGTGTGTCTGGTCTGGACGTTGGCGCGAGGAGGGAGCGCAACGCAAGCGAGTTCAGTTCCAGCCTGCACGACTGCACCTCATCTCAATTCTCATCCATCTCTGGCGGGGCATTCCCCGCCACAGCTGTCGGCGGAAGAGAAGCGGAGAAGCGGAGGCACCCCCCACACCCCACCCCATCCCGCGCTAACCCTTTCTGCCCGAATTCTTTCCGCTCCGCCACAGTCAAGTTCCCGCCAACGGAGCTTCAACCCATGAGGCAACCATGCGCTCGCTCCCGCCCGCCCACCCTCGAAGTTGGCTGGTTGCCGTGTCGCTCAGGTTTCGACACACGCAGTGCTCATGCGAACGCCCTCTTGAGCGACTGACTGCCCAGTTACGAGGGGCGTGCGACGTGACCGAAGTTGTTGAACCAATACAGTGGGTCGCCCACAGTCGCACGACCAGTCTGCTCAAAGGGCCGTGCGTTCCGTCAGGTACAGTCAAAATCGGTGGAAAAGCTTGGACCGAAACTCGGTATAGACAGCATCGTAAATTTAATCGAACAAGAGACATGACCATACAAAAGAATATAGTGCTTCATATTGAAGCACTAGTACTACATGGCGAACACATAATTTTCTAGAGTTATGTCAGCAAGAGAGGTCTGAAGCAACGAGCGCGTTGCCTAGGTGCCTCTAGATTGGAGACAAGGTGCTGGCATATGCGAGCAATGCATGAGTGGATGCGGGTGAGCATGTCATTGTTAGACGGGGCAGACGATGAGAGCGTCGATTGGCAGAAATGAAGGATCCCACGCAGGTCAGAAGCCGACAAGTCAGTGCGTTTGCACGCAGCCTGAAACACAAGAGATGCAGCGGAGAGCAACACAGCAGTGAGTCAGAACGCAAGAGACACGCAACGTCAGTGCCTTGTGGTAAGCAATAAAAGACAGCAATAATGGTAACGCAAGAGCAGGCCAATGAACAATGACAGTAATCACAGTACCTGAACAAGCAGCAGGGAGGCGAGGCATTGCTGCATGATCGTCCGCACGTCCCCCGCCGCACCAGAAGCCCGAACCTGCCCCTCCGCGCCTCCACTGCCACAGCCTTCCCTCTCCTCCCTCCGACCCCCCTCCTCCCTCTCGCCTCCCACCACCCCATGCGCCATTGCTGCTTCATGCAGCCCCTCCTTCCCCCCCGCCCCCTCTCCCCCGCCACCAGCACTGCCAGCAGCACGCGCGGTGCTGCTCCGAGGGGAGGTGGGGGGGCGGAGGGTGTGAGGAGGGGGTCTGGCCTTGGTGGTGGAGGACCGGTGCGGGCTGATCACATGCCCTGCTTCGCCCGCTGCTGCTGCTGCTGCTGCTGCTGTGGGTGGAGCAGGGGAGCAGGTGCTTGGGGGGAAGGCAGGCACGGTGACAGACGGGGAGGCGGGGGGGAGGGAGGGGGGGCTGGCAGAGGAGGGGGGGGAGGGGGAGAAGAGTACGCGGTGGTGGTCTGGGGAGGCAGCAAGTGAGGGAGCCGGCACAGCAGCTGGGGGCGCCGGTGCAGTGGCAAGCGGAGCAGGTGCGGTGGCGGGTGTGGCAGGGTCGGTAAGGGCCCCTATCTCTTTCTGCTGGGCAGCAGCGTTGCCTTGGCTCCTCTCTTCCCCCCCTCCCATCGTGCGTGCCCCTGGTGCTAGCCTGCCATCACCACCTGCTGCAGCGCCTGCACCACCACCCGTGCTCGTGACTGCTGCAGCAGTCGCACTTTCACCTGCAGCACCAGCTGTTGCAGCAGCAGCGGCAGCAGCAGCAGCAAAACGGGTACGAGTGTCAACAGCGGCAGCGGGTGGAGCGGCAGCACGGGCGTCAAGGGCATCACGGGCGGTGGTGACAGCATCAGCCTCAGAGCCCCCTGTGGTGCCCGTCGTCACTGACAGCCCGCCCTCCTCTGATGCACACAGCAGCCCCCTCGCCCCCACCCCCTCCTCCCACCGCCCCCCTGCTCCCTCTGCCCCCCCTGCTCCGCCTGCTCCCCCTGCCCCTGCTGCTCCCCCCCCTGCCCCTGGCACGGGGCAGGGGTGCTTGCCGGGGCTTCTCAGGGCGGGTCCCTGGGGGGTGAGCTGCAGCAAACGGTAGCGCGAGGCGTGGGGGGGCGGGGTGCTGGCAGGGAGGGGCACAGGGCGCGGAGCGTATGGAGGAACCGGTGCAGGGTGTTGTGATACGGTGTGGTGAGGTTCAGTGCGGTGTCGCATGATGTCTGCATCAGCTGCAGGTGCAGCAGATGGGGCCGCAGGGGCGGCAAGGGAGGGTGATGGGTGGTGGTGTTGTTGCTCTGGTGTCTGTTGAGTTGCCTGTGGTGCTCCGTGTGGGTGCAATGGCTGCATTGGAGCAGTGGCAAGAGGACCAGAGAAAGCAGCAAGAGGAGCAGATGGAGCAGTGGCAAGAGCCGCAGGAGGCATGGTGGTGGGTGGGGGGATACCAGTTGCAGGGGTGAAGATGGGTGGAGGCGAGGGGAAGTGAGGTGGGGGAATGTGTGGCGGAGGGAGGGAGGAGAGAGCATGGGAGAGGAGCAGCGAGGGGTCAGCGGTGGGCGGGCAGAGGGAGAGGGCGTGCAGGGCAGCGGCCACCATGGCATGTGCCCTCTGCTGCGCCTCGCCTATCATCTGCTGCACCCCCGCTGACACCTCCCCGCTGCCACCCTCCTCTTCCCCTCCCACCGCCCTCCCTCTCCCGCTCACCACCCCTTGGAGAATTCCTTGACCCTCCTGCTCCATTTTCCCCCCTTCCCCTCCGCCCGCACCCCTCTCGTGCCCCTGTCTGCGCTCTGCTCCTACCCCTGGTTCCCTGCTCGGCTCATCCCAGCGCGCCTCCGCTTTGCCCTCCTCCTGCGCCTCCCCCATCGCCTCTCCCAACTGCCCAGCCCCGTCCACTGCTGCTGCTGCTGCTGCTGCTGCTGCTGCTGCTGCTGCTGCTGCTGCTGCTGCTGCTGCTGCTGCTGCTGCTGCTGCTGCTGCTGGCGCTGCTGCTGGCGCGGCTGGTGCTGCTGTCATTGCCACCATTGCTGGTGCCGCTGCAGGTGGTGGTGGTGGTGCTGCTGCTACTGCTGGTGCCGTTGGTGCTGCTGCTGGCGGTGCTGCAGGCACCACAACCGGTGCAGGGGCAGGGGCTCTCAGGAGGTGCGGGGGAGGTGCAGGGGGAACTGTGGGCGGCAGTGAAAGCGGAGGAAGCGAGAGGGCTTGGGGTTGTGGGGGAATGAGAGGGGGGAGGCGCAGAGGCGCGTTGGCGAGGGCAGTGTGGGAGGAGGAGGCAGTGAGGAGGCGAGCAGCGGAGATGAGCGGGGAGGGGATGGGGGAGGCGAGGAGAGGGGGGGCGGCGGGGGAGGGCAGCAGGCGGTGGGTGGGGTGGGGGGAGGGGAGGAGGGAGGGCGAGGGGCGGGGGAGCGCGGGGTGGAGGAAGCGGTTGCGACTCCTGAGGGCTTGCAGTGCCTCGTCCAACTGTGGGGCGGTGGGAGGGGCATGGTGGCACGGCATGGGGGAGATTGCATGGGATGAGACGGGTGCATTGCATGAGAAGTGACGCATAGAAAGGTGGGGGTGTGGTGGGTGCAGATGGGTGCATGAGGCAGGAGGGAAGAAGGGTGAATGCGCTGTGATTAAGGAATGCAAGAGACGCTAGCACCTATTCCCACCGCTCACGCACTTGTCCGTCTGCCTCACCTGCTTGTCTGTGTCTCTAAGCTGCAGCAGCACCACGGCATACTGCCGCTGAAACGACTCGTCCAGCCCCACACCGCCCTCCGCCACACCCCCGACCCCACCCCCTGCCAGGGCCCCCTCTCCCGCCCTCCCCTGCAGCACCCCCAGCTGCCCCTCTGCCCGTGCGTTGAGCCACTGCAGCTCCGCCAGCAGCGCAGCCTGGGAGGGGGAGGGAAAAGGAAGAACAGGGAGTGAATCAATTTGCCCCGCTGCTGCGCCCCCACATGCCCCAACTGCCCCAGCCACCCCTCTGCCTGTGCGTTGAGGCACTGCAGCTCCGCCAGCAGTGCAGCCTGGGAGGCAGCAGCGTGATGTGAAAGGGGGGAGACGGGCGGGACGGGACGCAGCACATGGTTGGCAGCAGGGAGGGGAGAAAAAGGGAGAGACGGAAGGGAAGGGAAGGGGAAGGAAGAAGAGGGGGTGAAGGGGAGCTGAGTAAGAGGGCACATGGGTCCCTGGGTGAAGGATGTCTCAAGGGGAGCTCTAACGAATCCTGTTAGCATCAGCCCACAGTATGGGTCACAGCAGCGTGCCACCTCCACCACGGCGCGCACATGGTGCTCTAAACAATCGCCTCACAACTTGCCGAAAGCTTTGTTAGAAAGGAAATACCTGATAGATCGACCCTCACAACTTCCCTCTCCCTCACCTTCTTGTCACAGCAGCGCGCCACCTCCACCACAGCGGGAACATTCTGCTTGTTGAAACGATCAACCCCTGATAAATCCCCTCTCTCTCACTCACCTTCTTATCGCAGCAGCGTGCCACCTCCACCACAGCGCGCACATCCTGCTCCCTCGACTGCCCCCCATCTCCCGGACTCGCCCCCCCCCACCAGCGGGGCAGGCAGCGGCCTGTGCGTGGGCGTCTTGAACGACTCTCCTGCACCAGCCGCAGCAGCAACAGGAGCAGTTGCTGCAGCGGGAGCAGCAGGCGCAGTGGCAGCAGCAGGTGCAGCAGGCGGAGGGGAGAGGCAGCCGTTGAGATCCAAGTGACCTGGCCCGCCCTGCCATGGCTGCCCGCCCTGCCATGCATGCTGCGGCGATGGGTGTACGCCATCCATACTGCTCTGCACTGCTGGGTGTGCGCCTTGCATGCCCTGCTGTGGCAGGTTCATCACGCCATACATGCCATGCATGCCATGCAAGGGCAGCACATCCACGTCCACATCAGCCACTGCATGTGTGCCCAGCTGCCCCTCCTCAAAGCGCACCACCACCACCGCCTCCCCTTCCCCCCTCCCCTCCCCATACTCCCTTCCCTCCCTCCCCCCACCATGGCCCACGCCCACCACCCTCCCCGCTGCTACCACGCCCGTGGCAGGGTGCACTGCCAGTACCGCCTCCCCCACTTGCACCTGCCCGCCCCCTTGCACAGCCACTCCTGCAGGCGCACCAGCAGCAGCGGCGGCAGCGGCAGTGGCGAGGGCGGTGCGCGCGGCAGCACGGAAGGCGTTGAGGTTGGCGCGCTCCTCCGCCAGGAAGGCGGGGGAGAGGCGGCGCGGCTTGCCCATGGCGCTGGGGGGATTGGGGGAGGGGAGAATGGGGGAAATGAGGGGGGAGGGAAGGGGGAAGGGGGAAGTGGAGAGAGGAGAGGAGGGTAGGATGAGAAGGCGTTGAGGTTGGCCCGCTCCTCTGCCAGAAAGGCGGGAGAGAGGCGGCGCGGCTTGCCCATGGCGCTAGGGGGATGGGGGGAGAGGAGAATGGGGAAAGGGGGAAGTGGGGAGAGGAGAGGAGGTGGTATGAGATGAGAAGGCGTTAATGTTGGCCCGCTCCTCTGCCAGGAAGGCTGGGGAAAGATGATGAGGCTTGCCCATGGCGCTGGGGGGAGAGGGGAAGGGGGAGGGGGGAAGGGGGAAGGGGGAAGCGGGGAGAGGAGAGGAGGGTAGGATGGGAAGGCGTTGAGGTTGGCCCGCTCCTCTGCCAGGAATGCTGGGGAGAGGCGGCGCGGCTTGCCCATGGCGCTGGGGGGATGGGAGAAGAGGGGTGGGGGAGTGAACGAAGTGGGGAGGGGAAGGGGATGGGCAATGCTTGAGTTGAGAGACGCGGGTTGGGGGAGACATGGAGGGAAGGGGAATGTGTGTTTGGAAAGTGATGTGGGAACGAGACTGAAGGCAAGGGGGCGGAGAAGGGTAGACGAGCAAGGGGCAAAGGATAGGCAGGTTCACCAACACAGCAGGAATCACGAGCATGCAAGGGAGGGAGGCATTCAAGCAAAGCATACACGCCAAAGCGCTGCAGTGCTCACAGTCACCAGCAATATGTGGAGGCAAGGAGAGGCGCACTCACCAGCGCAGCAGGCGCCAGAGCGTGCGCGGGAGGGCGGTGGGAGGCGGGGCGGCGAGGAGGGCGAGGCAGCGGTGGAAGTCGCTGTGGCGGAACCAGGGGCGGTCGATGGCGCTGTAGAAGAACTCGCAGCGCGCCCACTGCTGCACTGCCAGACACACCCGCGGTGGCGGGGCGAGAGTACCATCCATCCCATCCACTCGCCCATCCCCATGCCCAGGCACGGGGACACACGCTGCTGTGCCATGTGGCCCATGCTGTGCCTTGTTCCCTCCGCTCTCTCCGCCCTCCCCGCCTTCTCTCCCCACCTGCCACAGCTCCACTCGCCTCTTCCTCCTGCCTGCCCCCCGTGCTGCTAAACGTGGCGCTCTGCCCCACGTTTTTCCTCCTCTTGCTGCTGCTTGGTATTGCTGAGGTGGCGCCATGTGGTGCACAGGCTGATGTGGCATAGGCAGCCACGTGGCGCCCCCCCTCTGCTCCCCTCCCCCTTGCTGCGCGGCCGCATGCTCTCCCCCCCTCTCCTGCGCGCCGTCCATGGGGAGGGGCGGGCGCAGAGGAGCAGAGTGCAGGGAGATACCAGTGTGGGTGGGCGGGGGCCCCATGGGGAGCAAGGGGAGCATGGGGGGCGTGGGGGCTGTGGGGGCTGTGGGGGTTACGGGCGGTGCAGGGGGTATGGAAAGGGGCATTTGGAGCAACAGGGGCCCTGGTGCGGTTGAGAGGTGTGGGGCGGGTGGGAGGGATGCGGAGGGGCGGGGGGAGAGGGGCAGGGCGGATGGGAGGCGGAGGGAGAGAGAAGGCGAGGAGGAGGGGGAGAGAGGATAGCTTAGCAGATTGGTTCTAGAGCCCATGGTAGGAGCGGTTGCTGCTACTGCTGCTGCTGTGGTGGTGGCAGTGTGCTGGGAGGGTGGCAGAAGAGGCAGCAGCTGTGCCGTAACTGGCTGTTGCTGTTGCTGTTGCTGTTGCTGCTGCTGTTGTTGCTGCTGCTGCTGCTGCTGCTGCACAAGCCCCCCTGTGTCTGCTGCACTTGAGTCTTGAGCTATCCCAACATAATCCACCGGACTCACGCCGCTGCCTGCACCCTCCCTGTCGTCTCGCCCCATCAAATTGAGGACCACCCTCTCCTCCACCACTCCCCCCTCCTGCTCCTTCCGCCTCTCCCTCACCCCTCCCTCCTTCCCCTTCCTCTTCTCCCTCGCCCCCCCATCCTTTCCCTTCTTCTTCTCCTTGCCCTGCTCCCCACCAGCCGCACATGGCCCTGCAGCAGCAGGGGCAACCGGGGGAGGCACGGTTGGAGGGGCGGAGGAAGCGAGGGAGTGAGGAGGGAGGGGGCCATGCTCGTCCGCGCCCGGCCCTGCCCCCTCCTTCACCTTCCCCTGCCCCTTCTTCTCGCCCTCTGCCACCTCCTCCGCCTTCCTCCTCGCCTTCACAGCCCCCTTGGCACCCCCTGCTGCCTTTACCCCCCCTCCTCCTCCCCCTCCCTGCTGCCGAGCCGCCTCCCCTCCACCTGCCCTCCTCGCCCCTTCCCCTCCCACCCCCTGCCTTGCACCCCCTGCCCCTTTCCCCACAGCCCCCACGGCCCTGCCACTGCTGCCCTGCGCGCCGCCACCACCAACCACCACAGGCACTGACCCGCCCTTGCCCGCCACTGCACCGCTGCCCGCCCTGGTGGTGCTGCTGCCACTGCCAGGCCTGCTGGTGGTGGCGCTGGCGTGTGCGGCTGCAGCGTGCTGGAAGCGCCGCAGCATGTCGTCTAGCGGATCCGCCTCCGCCCTCGCTGCCCCCCCTGCACCTGCTGCAGGGGCAGCACCCACGGCCATGCCTCCACCTGCAGCACCACCCACTCCACCTGGCATGGCACCTGGCATGTTCGGCAGCACCACATTGAAGGCACTCGGCCGAGGGGATCGCACTGCTGTTGCTGCTGCTCCGGCCGCTACCGCTACTCCTGCTGCCGATGCCGCTGCAGGAACGGCAAGGGCAGGAGCAGCAAAGGGCATGGCGGGCGTGGGAGGGAGGGCAGGGAAGGCGACTGGCACGGGCAGAGGGGGCACCGAGGGAGGCGGCAGCAGAGGGTAGGGGCCGGGCACAGGGAGCGAGGCGGGAGGGCGTGGCCGCCCTGTTGCCTGCTCCGGCTGGCTGCTTTTGTCCTTATTCGCCGCGCCTCCCTCCTTCCTCTCATTGCCCCCTCCTGCCTTGATCTTCTTACTCTTCTTTGCCTTCCTCGGCACAGGCCCTGCCCCTCTGGGCGCCTCCCTGCTGCCCTGCGCCCCTTCTCCCGCCCTCGCCTCACCCCCCTGCTTGTCTGCTGCGCGCTGCTTCCCTGCACCTCCTGCCCCGCCCGCCCCCTCCGCCTCATGCTGCTGGCTCGGCTGCGGGGCAGGTGGCACGTGGCCTGAGGGTATCGGGGTGGAATGGGGGCGATGGGGAAAGGAGAGGGAGGAGGTTTCAAGATCAGCAGCAGCAGCAAAGGCAGAAGCAGGGCAGTGCAAGAACACAAGGGTCCGTTTCATACCTGTGGCGGAAATCCCAGCAGCACCAGAGGCAGCGGCGAAAGGGGCGCCCACAGCAGTGCTGGCAGCAGGAGCAGCAGCAGCGGTATGAGGGGCGGCAGCATGGCTGTTGGCGCGCGCCATAGCTGTCAAAGACAGGTCTGCCAACGTGGCCAGGGCATCCAATCCGGAGCTGCCACCTGGCAAGGGAAGGAAACAAGGAATTCATGTGAATGGTCGTGCATGGTGCATGATGCATGATTCATGGTGCATGATGCATGGTGCATGATGCATGGTGCATGGTGCATGATGCATGGTGCATGATGCATGATGCATGGTGCATGATGCATGATGCATGGTGCATGATGCATGGTGCATGATGCATGCTGCATGATGCATGGTGCATGGTGCATGATGCATGGTGCATGATGCATGATGCATGGTGCATGATGCATGGTGCATGATGCATGGTGCATGGTGCATGGTGCATGATGCATGGTGGAAGCTGGGAGGGGCTGGAGCCTTAAAGAGGCGTCATTTCACTCGTGCTGTGCAGGCAAAGCATCCCGTGTGCTCCCCCCCTCCCCTCCGCTCACATCTCTCACTCACCGTGGAAAAGACTGATTGCATGCTCCCCCCCACCACTACCCATAGCCTCCTGCACCCCCTGCCCCGCTGCTCCTGCTTCTCCCCTCGTAGCCCCTTCTCCCCTCGTAGCCCCTTCTCTCCTCGTAGCCCCTTCTCTCCTCGTAGCCCCTTCTCTCCTCGTAGCCCCTTCTCCCCTCGCGGCCCCTTCTCCCCCTCCATCTCCATCTCCCCCAACTCGGCCCCCTTCTCCTGCATGCTGCCCCGCCTCCCTCTCCCCCCCATCACCCACGCCACCCACCTGCCCTCCCTGCCCACCAGGTTCGGCCCCCACCTCTGCCCCGCCTGCAACTCCCTTCCTCTTTGCCTTCGCCTTGCGCTTGCCCCCCTTCCCCTCCTTCCCGTCCTTCCCGTCCTTCCCGTCCTTCCCGTCCTTCCCGTCCTTCCCGTCCTTCCCGTCCTTCCCGTCCTTCCCGTCCTTCCCGTCCTTCCCGTCCTTCCCCTCCTTCCCTTCCTTCCCGTCCTTCCCCTCCTTCCCTTCCTTCCCTTCCTTCCCCTCCTTCCTCTGCTTCCCCTCCTTCCTCTCTTCACCATCCTTCGCCTCCTTCCCCTCATCACCGCCCTTCTCCTCCCTCCTCTCCTCAATCCCCTTAACCTTCTCCTCTTTCCCTGTTCCTTTCTCCTCTCCACGCCTCTGCACCCCTGCCAACCTGCTACCTGCCTCATCTGCTCTGCTCTCTTTCTCCTCCTCCTCCTCCTTCTCTGCCCTTGCCTTCACCTCCTGTTCCTGCTGCTGCTGCTGCTGCTGCTGCTGTGGGCGCAGTGACACCCGCAAACCAGCAGCCACCTCAGAGCGTCTCTTCTCGTCCTCCTCTGCCGCGCCTCGCCCTCTCGCCCCCACGCCACCCACCACAGCAACCGCCGACCGAGCCTTCTTAGGGGTGTGCGACCCTACGCTCCTTTGCCTGCCCGCCCCTTCCATTCTCCCCACACCCCCCTGCCTCCCCTCGTGCCCTGCCCCTCTCTCCTCCTTCCCTCGCTCTCCTTGTCCGCGCCCCTCTGCTTGCCTCCCTAGTGCCTGCAGTCTCACATCCCCGTCGCCCTCCTTCCCCCCACCCCCCCCTCCGCCACCATTCCTCCTGCCCTCACCCTCCTCCTCCTCCTCCAGCTGCCTCTTCCTCTGCCCTACTCCGCCGCCTCCCCTCTCCCCTCTTTCTCCCGCTCTCTCCCCTTCCCCACCTCTCCCCCCTTCCCCCTCGCCCTTGCCCCCGCCAGCAGGCGCCCTGCGACTGCGCTTGCCCCGCGACCACAGAGGGGCGGCTGGCAGAAGGGAAGGGGGGAAGAGGGTTGGAAGGAGTGGGGGAGGGTTGCAAGAGAGGGGGGGTGAGAAAGTTGAGAAAGGATACAAGGGAAATCGCACAGCTCCGGGATAGAAAGCATCACGCAGGTACTTACAGACACGTGCCTTAGCAGCACACACACCTGCCGATTGCCTTCCGCCTGCCACTCCTCCTGCTGCTGCTGCTGCTGCTGCTGCTGCTGCCCCCCGCACATCCCTCCCTTTCACGGCGCCATCGCTGCCCCCTCGCCCCGCACTGGACCCCGTGCTTCTCCCCACGCTCCACTGCTGCGCCTCCTGCTCCTCCGCCCCTTGTTCCGCGCTCTCCTCCTCTGCCCCGCGCCTCTCCTCCCTCCTCCCACCCTCACTCCGCTCACCGCCACCCCTCCCACTGCCCGCCACGTCACTCCCCTCCGCTCCCTCCCCTGCCTGTTGTCCCCTTCTCCCCCCCCGGCTGTGGCCCACGCTGTTGGACCTGCGTCTGGTGAGAGGCCGCTGATACTGCACCCTTGCCTCACTCTCACTCTCGCTCCTACTCTCCCTCTCACTCTCGCTCTCATTCGCTCCCACACTCGCACCCTCACTGCCGCTGCCCCTGTCACTCCGAAACCCAACACTTCCCCCCTCCCCCTCCCCCTCCGCCTCACTCCCGCTCTCACTAAGAATCCCGCCCCCCCTGCTGCTACGGTGCACAGCACGCCCCCGCCGTCGCCCCACAGGGGGAGTGACGGAGGCGGCCTGGCTGCCGTGGTCCTGCCCCCCCGCCCCTGCCTGCACTGCCAGCCCCGCTGCCTGCCCCTCGTCCGCTGCCTGCGGGTGCTCTGCTGCCGCCTCGTGCTGGACGCGCAGCCAGGATGGTAGTGAGAGACGGACGGGTGTGGGGGGATTGGGGGCAAAGAGGGGGGAAGGAGCAGTGTTGGAAGGTGCAATGGTGGTAGCTCGCGCGAAGGTGAGCAGGTAAAGGGTGGGAGCAGGGGAAGTGCGGTATCTGGGGAGGCAAAAGAGAATTAAACATGCAGGCAGGAAGCGGGCAGGGAAGGGGGCATGCAAGGGTGGGGCAGGAGAGGGGCGTACGAGCATGGAGTAGTGATCTGTCATCATGGCCACGAGCCCCACCGCCGATGCTGCTCCCTCTGGCAACGATAGGTACGCCTGTGGTGACGCGGGCAGCACACACGCAGCAGCACGAGAACGGACTGTGATTTGAGGACAGAGCAGGTTGGGAACTTATACTTGCAGGAATGCAAGACAAACAATGGATAGCAACTGGGGACTTCTCAGAGCGTAACCGTACGCCTGGATGCTCGTCCGCCTGAGGGCAAGCGACAGGTGGGATTGGACTGACCCTGTTCATGTTGAAGAGTGCCTCTGCCATCTCCTCCGTTCGCCCCGGTAACTCCGCCACCACCTGCACGCACCCAGCAAGAGCATTGCACCGGACAAAGCATCAGCATGCACCACGCACGGCACGCAGCAGCCATGGATCACCAAGCATGAGGAACCATCGACAGATTATTATGAACGGTTCTGATTGAGCTTTGCGGCCTGGAGGCTAGATCTGGTGACTCATGGATTCAGGTGCATGGTTGGATCAGGTGGTGTATGCTGTGCGAACGAGGGTGACCGTGATACAAACGAAACCAGCTGCTGAAGTGACGTCACCCATCCACATACACGCCCATCCTTCCTTCCCCGCGACGCCTTCCCCCTGCTCCCCCTTACTTCAGGGAAATTCTTTCTCACCCCCCCTCCTCCCCCACCCCCCCCCCCTCCCCCCCCCCCCGCGCCTTCCCCCGCGCCCTCCCTTCCCCCACCTTGCGCCAGTTCTTCCCCTCGGCGCGCAGCAGGCGGTAGAACGCGCGCAGCTCGCCGTCGCTCCACACGGGCCCCAGCCGCTCCACCAGCTTGCGCCGCTGTGGGCGGAAGGGGAAGATGCGGGGAAGGGGGGCACGAAAGGGAGGAACTAGTGACGCATGTGCGAACGGCGACGATGGGCGTGGGGAACAGGCCGGGCGGCAACTCTGTGCGGCCGACCCACTCCAAGTGATCGAGTCGGCTTGCGACAGCTCGCGAGGTAGCGACACCTTTGTGGTAACGCGAAATGGGAAGACGCGAGTAACGACGTGGATCATGCTAGAAAACCCTCGAACCAGACATGGTCGCGACGAATCGAACAATCAAGAGATGGTGAGCGATGACACGAAGAGCGCGAAGGACAAGGTGGGGGATGCGAGCGCTGAACTCGAACGACGCCATGCAGGTGACGCTTGAGGCGATGAAACAGTCTCCTTCATAAAGTACCGGACTATACCGCAGAAAACCGGAACCTAAAGGTTTAATCGTGATCTTGCCTTGTGACGCTGCGCATGGCGAGCGTCAGCGGCGCGCGGCTGCGCGTGCGCTCTCGACTGCGAAGAGGTCTTTCTGTGCGGCGCCATGGCTGACCGCGCACCGCTACCCGCTAAGTCACGATTCAAGGCGCGACATCGCGAGAATAATTATCGATTTGCTAAACGAAAAGTCGGTCTCATACCGAAGGCTGACAGTAAGCGAGGCGCGGAACTAAAAGAGCTAATCAAAATTGGTGTGAAAAGTTGGGCACCAAGTTCAGCCGGGCGAGGCAAGCTCATCCAAGGGAAGTTGGCTGAAGTGAGGCACAAGGGAGGCGGAGGTACTGTGCCGTGCTGCAGGGACAGGCAGTCGTAGCGATGGAACAGAATTGAGGTAAGGGGATAGGGGAGGAAGAAAGTAGAGGGAGGAGCAAGACATGGCAAAAGCAAGGAAGCAAGCAGGCAAGCAACCAACCACCCGTTTATCCCTCGGGATTGCCTTCCCGCGCCTTTCCTTCGGACCCCCGCCCACAGCAAATTTGAATCAAACCCTCAGCGCGCTCTGCCTGGTACTCGCGAAATCGCGGGAAATCGCCACCTTCGCTTTAGTTACATCAGCGAGAAAGATGGAATATTTCGATAGAGTAGCTGATTACGAAACATTATCTCTACAGTTTGCAAAAAAGGCATTGAAACAATCCACTCTTTTTTTATAATTTCTTACAAAATCACAAGCACTGCAGGTGCTATTCTCATGCAAAATACACAAAAACTGATCAAGAAAACCCTTAAAAAGTGATGCGGACAATCATTCTTTGGCAGCTGCCTCTATCTCATTGCGCCATCTCCGATAGTGCACACCGAGCTTGTCGTAAAGTACAGGGTGGTTCCACACATTTGCACCACGTCTCATCCTGTCCTGCTGCCCTACCACCAAACGCAAGTCCTCGTCCAGCACCTGCTCAAGCATTGGCAGACAAATTTAGCATTTGGTCAGTCCCAAGCAAGCATATTTCGTGAAGAGTGGCTGAACACGGAAGACTTCTGACTTTCAGGGACATTTTAAATCAGACAAATATTATGAAAACACGGAGGCCACAGCTCACCTGGTTAGCCAGAGACTTCCACAGTCTGTCGATGAAAGGCACAAACTTGACCCACTGGGCAAAGTCAAGCCCCATGCGGTAGAGCAGCCGTGTCTTGCCGCGTGATGACGGCAGGCAGGCGTGCAGCTGGTACAGATGCTGCGTGCACTCCTGCGCGCTGGCCTCCCCCTCCAGCTGGCCCGGCTTGACGAGCCCGATGGTGGACACCACCATGCAGGGCGGGCGGAACTCCATGGCGATGGGGTACGGATCCCAGTGGCCCTGCAGTGCCTGCGCTGCTGCCGACTTGAAACGAACCAGGCTGCCACAGGGAAGCACAGACGAGAGGACAAGGGGAAAATGTTAACCTCCAAGGCAGTGAGGAGTCAAGTGCAGGGGGTGCAAGTCACGGGCACACACTGACCTGGGAACGGACCAGCCCTTGGCGAAGGTGGTGGTGTGTGTGAAGGGCGCGTGGGCGAGGTCCAGGAGATTCTCCACCAGCAGCCCGTGCTCCACCGGCAGCTCTATCACTATCTGCAGGATGGCAGCACGAGTGGGGCAAGCAGGCAAATATGTACATGAGTATGGCATCATACCACAGCAATCAGGCAGTGGTGCACACGAGCTGGCACTACCACAACAGCACTGAACGCCATCCACTGCAAGTCTTTCTCTGCTCTGACAGGGCGTGCAGCAGTGTGGCCCTGAGGCTCACCTCGGCATGCACGGTGTAGGAGGGGGGCGGCATGGTGGAGGGCAGGGTGTCGGTGGGCGTGGCGGTGCCGGGCCACACCCAGATCATGCCCTCGTGCTCCACACACGGCAGCGCTCGCACTCGCACGTTGGTGAGGCGCGTGGATGGCATCTTGGTGCACTGCCCGTCCGGCTTGAACTCCCACCCTGCCAGGCGACCGAGGGAGGTGCATGGCTTAGGTGGCTTAGGTACAGACAGACACCATATGACAAGGCAGGCTACAGCAGAAAGTGGTAACACCCTATTGCCTGGGGTACATGTGAAAGAGCTGAACAGTGGGGATGGATGGATGTGCGAGGAAGCCATACCATGGTAGGGGCAGACAGCATGGCCTTCCACCACAGTGCCGATGGAGAGAGGGCATGCCCTGTGCGCACACTCGTCCCGGATGCACCCTGGCTTGCCGTCTGGGCCCCTGAACACCACCCACGGCTCCTCGAAGCAGTCAAACGGAATCTGTTGGAATGGCAGCGGGTGAGGAGGATCAGACCAACGGATGGCGAGTGAGTGACATGTAGCAAGAGGCGGAGGCTAAAGATCAGCATGCTGGGAACACTATAGCTAACCTGGTCGACCATTGTGAAGGAACCCCCACAGCCTATAGCATCTACCCGCACACAGCCACCTAACATGGACCCCTGCATGAGCGCCCGCCACCCACCAGCGTGGTGGCGTCGACGTCTTTGGAGAAGGCGACGGGGAACCAGAAGTTCTTGAGCGTGGACGCGTACTTGGGCAGCGGCCCCGACGTGTCCAGCTTCGTGCGCCGCGGGGCCTTCCCCTTCTGCTTCCCCTTCGCCACGCGCCCCTGCGACGCCGCCGTCTCAGCGGCGCTCTGCAGCTCCGCGGGCTCCGCGGCCAGAATCGCGTCCGCCTTCTCCACTACCGCCAGGCTAGCACTCGGCGCGCCACCCTCCGCCGCATCCCCCTGGCTGCTGCTGGGTTCCCTGGGAAGAGGGTCGACGACGCGCGTGGTCTGCACGAGCGACTCCAGCTCCGCCATCCGGTCCAGCGTCTGCCGCACACGGGTCTCCGATGCGCGCACCTGCGCACACAGGCCCGAGGCAGACCGGCGTGGACGAGGATGACAGGGGGTTGCGGTTGAGTGTACGGGTGGCAGAGCGGCGGGTTGAGGAACTGAAATGGCTAGAACGAGAACGGGGAGTGAGAGTAGCGGCATGGGTACGCTGAGGCATGGGGAAAGGCGTGATGCTGGGATGGGTAAGCAGGGCGCACCTGGGCGCGCGCAGCGGCGAGCTCTTGTCGCATATGTTGCAGCTGCTCCTCGAGAGACACGAGGGACTCGGTGTCTGACGTCGACTCCAACGATGCCACGAACACGCCCGCCGCTACCCGCCGAGCCTGCACGCGCACACCATGCCGTTAGCGCTACGAACACCCTCCGTAACGACTACAACTCTAATGGCGCAAAGAAATGGTGTTAAAAAGGGATTGGCGCAATAGTGCTGTCTCGCACCTCGTCCTGCTCGTCGCTCTGATCGCCACGTGGCACTCCAAACAGCTCGCCCGCGCTCTGCAATGCGTCTGCCACCGCGGGTGCTGGCCAGTGCGCCACCTACGGTAATGGGAGCAGCAACGGAATGCGCGGCGATTAGGAGCGGAATTATAGGAACAGGCAGCCTGGCGCAAAATGACTAGATCTGGATTAGGCAGCGACGGAATGACGAATCTGGATTACAGGGCGTGGCACGAGCAATTGCAAGGCAGGGCGGGTCGGAGATACCTGTGCTGCTGCTTTGCCCCCCGCGGCGCCAGATTGAGCCGAAATTAGACCAAACCGAAGATCGAAACCCGCCGCCTGGTCTGACCCATCCAACGACCCCTGAAATCGAAAACACGCGGAAAGGGACAAGTCTGTTGTGAGAAAACTGCGATGAGGCGAAGAGGGGTTAAAATAGGGAGTTAAAAGGTTTACGAAGAACAGGGACGTACGTTAAGGGCAGCGCATAGATCTGGTAATAGCCCGGCAGCCGGGACGGTGGCCTCGAGCCAGATATGCGATCCACGTGCCTGCAGAGGCGGGGACGGTGAGAGAGGAGAGCAGTTGTGAGACAGAAAAACGGTCAGGAACAGACGAAAGCGGCCATTGAGGAGCCTCAGAACCTTTTACATGTGACATGTCACCGCAAGACTCGCGGCAAGAATAAAGGCACGTGTGGTTCACCTGGATCTGGAGCGGCTCTTGGACGTCGGCGGGGTCAAGGCGAAGCACAGACGCTCGCACGGCCTGTGAGGGGAGTAAGCCGAGTTGATGCGGGCAAAAAAAGGGGCAAATATATGGTGTTTCACATGTTCCGTATCATTTGTACGGACAGGGGCTGAAGGAAAGCGGAAATGATGAACACCATTAATGAACACGGTTAAAAGATGACCTTAACCCACCCGTAGGAGCTGGCAGAAATCGTGATACTCCCTGGCGTTCATCGCCAGACTCCATCCCTCTCCACCGACCTGGAATACGACCAGTCGGAGAAAGGAGAAAGGGGATAACTACTCGCACGGTTAACGACGACTAAGATTCTTAAGGTTCCAGATTAACAAAAGCGAGCAGCAATGCTTGAATACTATTCTGAAGATTCCTATTGGAGTCCGCACCGAAGCAGCAAAACTGTCGGTTGAGTTGGGTGATGCCTCATAAGCCACACGCCACCCCTCCCCTTGAACCAGCCGGAACTCTGCCTCCGGAGCAACCTCTTGCGTCGAGCAGCCTGAAAGAAGGATGCGACGAAAAGCGATTTAGCCGGTGATGCCGGATTGAGGCGACGGCGAGATCGAGAAGGGACACAAAGTCCAAGGCTTCACCTGTCAAATCGCACGTGAGCCATGCACCGTCTGGGTGCGTAAGCTTGGACCCGCTGTCGAGAGATAGGACGAGCTTATTTTCTTGGCGAATGGAAGCCTTGTCTCCTGCATTTTGACTGCTGAGGCTCATCCGAACTACTCTAGACGAAGAAACATCCTGTTCTTTGGCAAATCGTTTGTCACTACGCAAGGTGCGACCTCCTAGACCAGAATGGCTCGACGACAGACAGGCCGTTCGGGACGCGGTGGAACGCTTCGATGAATGGGTGATACCGCCATGGACAGGCTGCTTCGTGAAGCCTACTCGCTGAACCGTGGAAGCCGCTAGAGAATTCATGGCTACACGCGAGTATGGCCTCCTCTACGTACAGGAGCAGTTGCCCTTCCTGAATTACATCAACCAGGAAAGGGATCCGAGCTAGGAAAATTATCTGAACAAATAGGTCTCGGAATGCGACGACATGTTCAGTGAATGATGAGGGGAGGGAATAGGCTGGTCCCGTCAAGGTGTGTGGTGTGGATGGAATGTTCGGCTTGCAGCCTGCAGGAGGGGAGCACACACGGGGGAGGGGGGATGTTGGTGGTGGTGGTGGCGCTGTTGCTGTACTTTGTCGCAAAGGGAGAGGATAACCAATCAGAGGCCTGCTGCGAGGGGAACCATGCGAAAGTTGTTTGAGAAGTTACGATTTCTCGTGGACAGCAACGGATTCGTTGCTAGGATCTTTCGCCATCCTCGGGTGCGTGAATTCATCGGGGCGCCCAAGAATGTACAGTTGTTGACACGCGATCCATTTTACGTGACATGATTGGATAGATGATTCTATCAGGATCCCGAGATGACCTCTCAAAGGAGTGAGCTCAGCACCGCGGATTGCTGGCTTTATTGCAACATGGATGGGGCGAAGGGAATGCGTTGACGACACATGCCTGCATACAAGCTGAGGAAGCCTTGCATCCAAAAGCAGTTGCTACACATCATAATAAAATGTATAACCTGGATTTACTGTAAAACTGTTACGAGTGCAATTGAGTGAACGAACGAGAATTGCACTATCTAAGCAAGAATACAATTGAGCGAAGGCATGAGCGAACATTATATAGCGAAACTATAGTGGTAACGGTAATGGTCGCGCGACGAGCCTGGGACTGAGGTTGGGAAAGTGTCGAAGCGTAGGCCCGGAGCGCGGGTTACCAGCCGAGCCGTGAGGTCGGGATGCGATGTGCGAAAAGGGCGGGATGATGAATGATGCGATGGTCGTGAGTGGTAACGGTGCTGACTGAGGTGCTACAGTGATGTACGCGTTGAGCAGGGACGCGAAGTAAAGAAAAGGGAATTTCCTTACACTACCCCCCCTCCTAAGGAGGTCCTCCTTATGAAAGCGCGTGGATGTCTCGGAAATTGCGGCTACGTAGGTAGTCGGTGACGACGGGGTGATTTTCAACTTTCTCCAGGGGAACCCAATTGTCCTCGGTGGGGGTACGATCTTTACAGCGGATCAGAAACTCTACTTTGCGGGCTCCTCGAGGGTCGCAAACTCTGTGACTCAGGATCTTGTCGGGGGTGATGACTGGTTCGGTTGGTGGTCGTGTCATGCTGGTGGGTCGATGTCGTGGGAGTTGGCTGGTGGATGGCACGTAAGGGCGAAGTAAGCTAACGTGGAACGAGGGGCTGACGTACCAGTCAGCAGGGAGGAGGAGGTGTGCGGTGACTGGCGTAACCATGTGACTGATTCGAAATGGCCCACAGTATCGAGGGCGGAGTTTTGGAGTGATGGGCAGGCGGAGGTTCTGAGTGTCGAGTAAAACGAGGTCGTCGGGCTGATAAGTAATGGGTCTGCGATGGCGATCGGCGTTGCGTTTAGCGATGATGTTTGATTTTTTTATTGCTTCTGCTGCCCTGGTCCGTGCTGCTTGCAGAATCTCGGCGAACTGTTGTGCTCGTGGGACGGGGTTGTCGGGATTCGGTGTCATGGGTACTGTTGGGTCCTGTCCGTAATTCAAGTAAAACGGCGACTGTTGCGTCGTGGCTGATGGTGCGTTATTGTATGCGAACTCGATGAGTGGCAACTGCTGTTCCCACGTATTCGGATCGTCGCACGTGGCTCGAATCAGCTGCTCCATGGTCTGATTTGTCCGTTTCGTCTGTCCGTCGGTTTTGGGGTGATAGGATGAACTGAACTGTAAGCGCGTGCCGAACTGCTGCCACAGGTTCCGCCAGAAGTTGCTTGAAAATTTCGTGTCCCTGTCGCTTATGATCGATGCGGGTATCCCGTGCAGTCGAACGACGGTGGCGATGAAGAGTCGGGCGGTTTCCTCGGCTGTGATTGATTTCCTGCATGCTGCGAAATGAGCCATCTTCGTTAGTCGATCGACGACGACCAGGATCGCGTCATTCCCACTCGCCCCAGCTGGTAACCCCGTGACGAAATCCATCGTCACCTGCTGCCAAGCACGCTCTGGGGGCGGGATGGGTTGTAATTGTCCCGCCGGCCGCTTCCTGCTTGACTTCATGAGCTGGCAAGTGGGGCACGATGCCACGTGTCGTTGCACATCGGTCAACATTTCTGGCCAGTAGTAGTACCGCTGCAGCTGCTGCCGTGTTTTTTCTACCCCGAAATGTCCCGAGGTAACTCCGACGTGTGGTTCCTGTAACAGTAGTTCCCGCAGTAGCGTGTATCCTGGTACCCAGATGCGGTCGGTTCCAGCTTTTACGTAATAGACTCCTTGTGCCGCTGCGAATTGCTGTGAGTTGCCTCCTGTAAAGAACGGGTCTGTTTGATATCCGTGGGTAAATAGGCCTGTCAGTAGCGGGCTGGTCTGGGCGAGTAGTATCGCGTGGATCTGGGCAGTGGGGCGGGTCAGTGCGTCGGCGATATTCGAGGCTCCTTTTTTGTATGTGACCGTATAGTGAAAATTCGACTCGAGGAAATCGAGCCATCAAATCTGTCGTGGGTTGAGGTGGGGCTGTGCGCGGAGGTACTGTAGAGATCGATGGTCTGTCTGTCAGAACATATAGCTTACTTGTTTCTGTAGGCTATAGTGGGGTATCCCATAGGGGGTACAACCCAATTAGGGTTTCCTATTTGTACCCACTTCATTTCATAGTCATCCACTCTCGTTCATTAAGTTCCACCTGGTATAGAGCGGGTCCCTTCTAAGGACCGTTTTTTTGGGCCCACCCACGATCTTTTTTTTTCCTGCCCGGAGCGCGCCCTATTCTCCTCGAGGCGCGCTCCCCCTAGTGCGCGTCGAGCTGCCCTTGTGGCGCCCCGAGAGTCGCGCGCGCGACTCATTTTTTTTTCGCGCGCGCGGCCCGGGCCCCACTTCGCGCGGCCCTTACAGCCGCGCCGCGCCGCCCTCTCGGCTCTGCCGCGCCGCGCCGTCCTCAAGACGGCCGCGCGGCCTCTTCGTCGCTGCGGCAGGCCCCCCCCCCCGCTGCACCTCTGTCGGCCCCGCCGCCGCCTTACCTGACGGCCGCCGCCTCACCTGACGGCCCGCCGCCTCGCTCTCTGGCCCGCCACCTCACCAGACGGCCCTGCCGCCTCACCTGACGGCCCACCGTCTCACCTGCTGGCCCGCCACCTTACCTGACGGCCCCGCCGCCTCACCTGACGGCCCGCCGCCACCTTACCTGACGGCCCCGCCGCCTCACCTGACGGCCCGCCGCCTCACCTACTGGCCCGCCACCTGACCTGACGGCCCCGCCGCCACCTCTGACGGCCCGCCGCCTGACCTGCTGGCCCGCCACCTCACTGACGGCCCGCCGCCTCCCCCGCTGGCCCGCCACCTGATCTGACGGCCCCGCCGCCTCACCTGACGGCTCGCCGCCTCACCTGCTGGCCCGCCACCTGACCTGACGGCCCCGCCGCCTCACCTACCGGCTCGCCACCTCACCTGCTGGCCCGCTGCACCCTGACGGCCCCACCGTCCCCTGTCCCGGCCCCGCCGCTGCACCCTGACGGCCTCGCCGTCCCTTGTCCCGGCCCCGCCACTACACTGCAGCCGAGCCGCCTAGCAGCAGCCGAGCCGCTCAGCAGCAGCCGAGCCGCTCAGCAGCAGCCGAGCCGCCCAGCAGCAGCCGAGCCGCCCAGCAGCAGCCGAGCCGCCCAGCAGCAGCCGAGCCGCCCGGTACCCGAGCCGCCCGAGCCGCCCGAGCCGCCCCACCAACCCGAGCCGCCTGCTGCTGTTCTACCCGACTCTCCTAGCCCGGTGAGACTTTCAGCTGCTGCCATGGCCACCCCCAATGTTCTTACTTTTGACGCTGAGGGGAGGGCCATTGACTTTGCCGTCTGGATTGAAGACCTGCAGCTGTACTTA